AAAGTTAAAAAAAAATGATAAAGTAAATTGGCATAACATGAAAAATTTTTCTATAGACTCATTTCTTTGTAAATGCAACAATTGCAGAAAAATGCAATTGCACAAAATGCATCTATGGAACAATTTTTTATGTTAAGCCATTAAATTTTTTCTTTTACTACTTTATTTCTTCTTTACTAATTTTTTATGTTAAGCCATTAAAATTTTTTTCTTTACAAAATTTCCAGCTATGGAAATACCAGATGGAAATAATATTTCGAGCGAAACCAGGTATGTTCGAACTCGTGAATGGAAATACTCAATGTTATAAGGTCATAAAAGGCCTACAGCTACCGACGCTATTTACAAACAGCGGCCTTTGATTTAGGCGACACCGAAGCTGCCGATTCTACCGACGCGTGCGCGAGCGTTAGAGGCACACACACATACACACAGATAGCGGCTCATCCTTTCTTTTATTATTCCTTAGAAATAAACAAAATGCGAACGCAACCAATCGAGCTCGATGAGCGATCAGGCAGTCTTGAGCTGGCTTCCGTACGAGGCAGTTCTGTTTTTCGTGGCTGGCCGATGTTAGTCCAAGCAAACATGTAAAACGAATTATTAAAACATTTACGTACATTAAGCACGCCCACAATTTATTACGGAAACCCCTTACAAAATTCAGAAGTGGGATTACCGGTGCCAAGTTTGGCGATTATGACCGCGCGATTGTGACTGTGCGTTTATGTTAAGAATTTATGTTATGCTTATGTTACGGGCCTTTACGTTTTTATGAAACCTTACGAACTGTATTTTGACTGTATTTGAAACAGTAGACACTCGATACATAAGATATCTTATAGATATACATAGAATGTATAGAATGTATATTCGAATAAATCGCTGTCTGTATATACATAGAATATACTTCGTGTACATTCCATGTATATACATGTAACGTACATACATACGATATACGCTGAGGTAGATACATTTATGGATATACATAGGATATTATATAAATATACATACAATGCATATTCGAACGAGATCGCTGCCTATATACAGTGAGCGGCAAAAGTTCCAGAACGATCAATTATCTCAGAAAATATTGATTTATTGGAAAAATGTTTCAAACAAAAAGAGTAGGGTTTAAAGAAATCCATTAGCTGATGATATTTATTTGACCTTGGAATGACCTTGAAAAGCCCGGTCAAGATCAACATAAAAATCTTAAATGGAAACCTCCATTTTTAATTACATATTTTTGTAGCTGAAGTCGAGACGTTTTCAAAACACTTTAGTAAAATATTTTTTTATTATATATATAAGCACTTTTCCAGTTATAAGATTTGAAAGTTATAGTATTTTGACATAAAATACAAAATATCTTGTAAAACATTCAGTTTTTGGTAATCTTATCTTAATACTTTTGTGCACAGAATAATGAGACGAATCAATTCGTGTAAAGAAAACACATAGTTGTTTTAAAAAAAAAGTATGCAGCTGCATGTTGCAAATTACATATTTTTTTCTTAAAAGCAACTATGTATTTTCTTTATACAAATTGATTCGTCTCATTATTCTGTGCATAGAAGTATTAAGATAAGATTACCAAAAACTGAATGTTTTACAATATATTTTGTATTTTATGTCAAAATACTGTAACTTTCAAATCTTATAACTGGAAAAGTGCTTAATAAAAAAATATTTTACTAAAGTGTTTTGAAAACGTCTCGACTTCAGCTACAAAAATATGTAATCAAAAATGGGGGTCTCCATTTAAGATTTTTATGTTGATCTTGACCACGCTTTTCAAGATCATCCCAAGGTCAAATAAATATCATCAGCTAATGGATTTCTTTAAACCCTACTCTTTTTGTTTGAAACATTTTTCCAATAAATCAATATTTTCTGAGATAATTGATCGTTCCGTAACTTTTGCCACTCACTGTATATGTATATACATAGGACGTACATAGAATATCCTAATGTTTATTGGATTGCTTTGAATCTGCATTGCTTCCTTCGGTACGTGTGATGGATAGACCCGTAGACGATGCGGTTGCCACTGGGATATACCATGTCTTTTTGGCAAATATGTCGTCTATGATCTATAAAGATGAAAACAACGGCTATTAGAAAATGCAGACATTGTTAAGAAAACACACTCATTTGTCTTTTATTTAATTGTTTTTATACCATAAAAAACTGCCATGTTCTTCTATTGTTTCCTGATTTATTATTGTCATCTTTTATTGATTTATATGTTTTTTCCAAACTGCGTAATTCAGCTGCACATTGTGGTCCCGTTACTATATGCCCCTTCTTACTCATAACTTTGGCAATTTCATCCTAAATTTTTTTATGCTAACGTTTCCCATCAGAAAATTTTTTTTCAGACTCCTTATATTTTCCAACAGTAACAGTACACACGATTCGGACCATCTGTATAAAGACCCTAAAATACGTAATATATACAAACGTCACTAATTATTACATTTGTTGTAAAAGATTGAACTTATAATTGTTGTTCATGAGAACTTTTACATACCTGAATCTTCAGTATCGGTGTTTTTAGTTTCCTCCTCGTAAGTCGCACAAACAGTTGCACAAATATCCGGACTTGACATTACCACCGTACATTGCTGACCTAAAAAAACAAAAATGATTAATCTTGCAATTCTCGCGTTTTCTTTGCAAAATACTAAATATATTAAATATAAAGATAATATACCGCATAGCTATAATTGACGCATAGCTACCAAGCAATACAGGCATACGATAACATAGGTATACAATATACCTATATCGTATAGGTTAGAATGGAAACTTCATTCCGTGCAAAATGCAAATCCAATTATTCGATTGAACAGTGCGACGGAAGTTCCAGTAATGAGACCACAGTCGTCGCCACGAATTACTTTGCCAACGATCTTAACCCATGCATGGAATATCATTATTTCACTATTAAAACGGAAACGCAGACAGTGCCGGTTAAACGAGACTGCGAAAACAGCTTCGCCGAATAAGTATTTTGAGGTATCAGAGCAGAATAACAAATGAATACGTTGTCCCTTGCAAAGCTTACAATTTTTTTTAGTGAAATTAGCGAAAAATATCTTTCGCTAATTTTACTAAAAAAATTTGTGGTCTCATTACTGGAACTTCCGTCGCACTGTTCAATCGAATAATTAGATTTGCATTTTGCACGGAATGAAGTTTCCATTCTAACCTATACGATATAGGTATATTGTATACCTATGTTATCGTATGCCTGTATTGCTTGGTAGCTATGCGTCAATTATAGCTATGCGGTATATTATCTTTATATTTAATATATTTAGTATTTTGCAAAGAAAACGCGAGAATTGCAAGATTAATCATTTTTGTTTTTTTAGGTCAGCAATGTACGGTGGTAATGTCAAGTCCGGATATTTGTGCAACTGTTTGTGCGACTTACGAGGAGGAAACTAAAAACACCGATACTGAAGATTCAGGTATGTAAAAGTTCTCATGAACAACAATTATAAGTTCAATCTTTTACAACAAATGTAATAATTAGTGACGTTTGTATATATTACGTATTTTAGGGTCTTTATACAGATGGTCGAATCGTGTGTACTGTTACTGTTGGAAAATATAAGGAGTCTGAAAAAAAATTTTCTGATGGGAAACGTTAGCATAAAAAAATTTAGGATGAAATTGCCAAAGTTATGAGTAAGAAGGGGCATATAGTAACGGGACCACAATGTGCAGCTGAATTACGCAGTTTGGAAAAAACATATAAATCAATAAAAGATGACAATAATAAATCAGGAAACAATAGAAGAACATGGCAGTTTTTTATGGTATAAAAACAATTAAATAAAAGACAAATGAGTGTGTTTTCTTAACAATGTCTGCATTTTCTAATAGCCGTTGTTTTCATCTTTATAGATCATAGACGACATATTTGCCAAAAAGACATGGTATATCCCAGTGGCAACCGCATCGTCTACGGGTCTATCCATCACACGTACCGAAGGAAGCAATGCAGATTCAAAGCAATCCAATAAACATTAGGATATTCTATGTACGTCCTATGTATATACATATACAGTGAGTGGCAAAAGTTACGGAACGATCAATTATCTCAGAAAATATTGATTTATTGGAAAAATGTTTCAAACAAAAAGAGTAGGGTTTAAAGAAATCCATTAGCTGATGATATTTATTTGACCTTGGGATGATCTTGAAAAGCGTGGTCAAGATCAACATAAAAATCTTAAACAAAGACCCCCATTTTTTATTACATATTCTTATAGCTGAAGTCGAGACGTTTTCAAAACACTTTAGTAAAATATTTTTTTATTATATATATAAGCACTTTTCCAGTTATAAGATTTGAAAGTTTACAGTATTTTGACATAAAATACAAAATATCTTGTAAAACATTCAGTTTTTGGTAATCTTATCTTAATACTTTTGTGCACAGAATAATGAGACGAATCAATTCGTGTAAAGAAAACACATAGTTGTTTTAAAAAAAAGTATGCAGCTGCATGTTGCAAATTACATATTTTTTTCTTAAAAGCAACTATGTATTTTCTTTATACAAATTGATTCGTCTCATTATTCTGTGCATAGAAGTATTAAGATAAGATTACCAAAAACTGAATGTTTTACAAGATATTTTGTATTTTATGTCAAAATACTGTAACTTTCAAATCTTATAACTGGAAAAGTGCTTATATATATAATAAAAAAATATTTTACTAAAGTGTTTTGAAAACGTCTCGACTTCAGCTATAAGAATATGTAATAAAAAATGGGGGTCTTTGTTTAAGATTTTTATGTTGATCTTGACCACGCTTTTCAAGATCATCCCAAGGTCAAATAAATATCATCAGCTAATGGATTTCTTTAAACCCTACTCTTTTTGTTTGAAACATTTTTCCAATAAATCAATATTTTCTGAGATAATTGATCGTTCCGTAACTTTTGCCACTCACTGTATATGTATATACATTAGGACGTACATAGAATATCCTAATGTTTATTGGTATTGCTTTGAATCTGCATTGCTTCCTTCGGTACGTGTGATGGAT